AAAACCCGCTTTCGGTGTTATTTTCATTGCATGACACTGGTTCTTATAAATATGACATTGCACTTCCTTCCTACGGGGGCAAGAATAAAAACACGATGCGGCATTTTTATACCTTACTGAAGTATCCTGCTGAGACGCCTCAAAGGAAATACCCCTTCTCCCTCTGAATCAGGGTACCAAACCCACCCGCCGCTGCCCAGCTCCCCCTCAGCCTTGCACGATGGGTGGTGAGACATGAACGAGATGAACCTAACACCCCCTACCCCCTGCACCCATCCTTACACCCCAGCATGCCAAGTCAGGAGCACAGAAGACAGGACGTGTATTTGACCCGAGTCTGGCTCCCCGATCCCACAGGGAAGGTGCACATATCAAAGCCTGAGGCCAGCCAATGAAGCGCAGCCTGAGCAGCCTGGAAGGGTTTTGGGGAGGAGAAGGCTGAAAAGAGTGCCTTCCAAAAACAAGTTCAGCAGGAAGCGGCAGTTAGTGTCCACTCTGAGCAGATCAATAAGCAGGCACATCCGAACAGCCAATGGAGTTAGACAAAGAGACACGGTTAACAGTCACGGCTGTCTCACTCTGCTGCCCGGTGGGAAAGGGATGGGCACCTGGGCAGAAGAGGAGGGAATGGTTCCTGTGGGCGAGGCTCCTGGCCCAGCCTCGGGTTCCCCTGTCACCCCTTCTCTAGGAGTGTTGGCCAAGGCTGACCACGGTTCTAAACCCCCGAGACACACACCTCAGCTGTCAGGCTCTGCTTCCACTAGGGCTCCTGGAGGAGACCATGAGGGGATTTCTTCTACTCACAACGGAAAGGCTCGCAGGGAGAACCTGGCCTAACACGACCAGCATAAGGCCACGTAGTGGGGATTTATGCCACCATCACAAAAAGGAAGGTGCGTGCCGATAGTTTACTACCTTGGGGCCCCTTTTAGAATACGGGTGCTGGGTCCACCTGATCCTTAGAAGACAAAAAAGAACATGGCAAAACGTAATCACAGTCTCCCAAAGATGGGGTGTCTAACATGGCTATCAATGGGAAAGGAAGGAGAAAATGGAAATAAAAACCAAACTGAGTAGGAACAGGACAGAGGAGTAAGGACCACTGGACAAAGCTGAGAAAGGGACAGAGCAGTGTTGGGCAATGCAGTGGAAGGTTAGAGAAAAGAGGCCAACAGAGAGGAGGGTGCAGGGTGAGAGGAAATGCATGGAGAGGAGGAGTGACGAGGGCCCAGGAAGAGCTGCACTCCTGGCTGCAGGTACCACAGCTGAGGCTGCTGGTGGGGAGGGGCAGGGGAGCAGGGATGTGGATATCAGAGGGTTGACGTGTCACTGACATGTCCATCCTGCCAGAAGAAACGCATGCTGCTGCCTTTGTCCACGACAATGTTCATCTCCGTAAGGGAGCTGATTCAAATTCCCTCCAGAGAAAACGAGTGCAGGCCTAGAGGGGGCCTAGGAGGAGGCATTGGGGTTGGAGGAGGGGAGGACACAAGTCATCAAAGAAATGGTGGCCACCGTTTAGGGATTGGGCAAATCTCCCTGCCCAGACCAAGGGCTGCCTCTTGACAGACACTCCCTGTGGCTGTCAGAAATGAGACCCACAGCCAGGCAGGACTTAGGGACCAAGGCCAGGCAGGACTTGGGGTCCAAGGCCATGGTGGCTGATCCTCAGGCTCTCAAGGTCAAGGCTCCTGAACCTGCATGCGCTCCCTTCCCTGAGGTCCTGCTCTAAATGCTTCCTTCAGCTGACTGGACGGAGACGGGGCTGTCACCACACTGCGACTTACTGACACTGAAAACGTGATTGCTAAAACCTACCTGGCAATCTTAGGTGTGGTGTGAATTGAATGGAGGGTTAAGTGTGGCTTTTGTGTGTGTGTGTGTGTGTGTGACTATTTCTGCTCACTCTTCAGGCATTGTTACAGAGACACTGATACACGCAATCACTGAAAAACGGACTGCTAAGATGAGCCTGCCCTTAAGTTACAGGGCAACAAACTACGACCACTCTCTCCACTCCCCACTCCCCGCCTCCCCAATACCCATGGACCCTTATGCACACTGAGGGCATAGCCAGAGGGGAGAGTGGAAAGCGGTGCCTATCCTGTGAGTCTTTGCTGCTGGCAGCTATGAATGGTGTGACTGTTGAGCCTGGAATGTGAGCAGAAAGGGCCCATATTTCAGTCCTTCAAACGGGGCCATTTTGCCGTAACATGGAATGCTGGAGAACGATGCTATAGGAATGCACATCCATATGGATGAGGCTTTCCTCATGGTGTGGGAATCCCAAGCATGTCATATCTTGCAGCCCGTACACTGCCAGTGTTCGGAGTCCCCCAGATTTCTCGTGCCTCAGACCACGTCTGCAAGAATAAAGTGGAGGAAAAATGAAGTTGCTGTCCTCTTGAGAGAACTATGAGTACTCCCACAGTTGAAACAAGCAAAAAAGGAAAAAGAGAGAAAGCATTCGGATTTAAAGACGCCTGCTCTGTGAAGAAGTGGCTAAGATGGGTGTCAGAATGCTCATGCGTTATGACCCTTCGGCATTTTTACATGAAATCCAGCTCAGCAGGAGAGAGCAGCTACTGAGTATGGAGGTTTTCCCTCCTGAGCTAAACAGTTAGTGGACCAGTGGGCCTCGGCATTGCTGACAAAGCGGTGGTATAATTCTACAAACTGTCTGCAGGCTTCGACCGTGGTGTTCCCAAGCTCTATCATTAGTTGGTAGACACTTCACAGCCTGGTCTGACTTAAGATATACAGGTCCCTCTCTGACCTGTGCTCTGGCAGCGGCAGGAAGGAAACAAGGCCATTGAAATCCAAATGCAAGGAAGGCCCGAGCTTACAAAGCCACTCCGTGCTGCACCAGATGAACAGTGACTCAATGGTTCACCGATTTACTTTATTCAGAAAAGTGTAGGCTGGTTGATGCTGCATTCAGCCATTCAGTACTCTGTAGAGATACTAACAGTCCCCCCTATCCGTCAACATACAGTTTTAGCTGCGATGACTACATGTGGCCACTAGAGGGCAACCTTTCCAAATGCATTCAGTACAGGCGCTGTTCTGGGGGTTGCCAAGTGCTGGGAAGTTTCTTAAGCCAGAGGAAAATGTGTTTTCTTTTGTCTTAATAGCATTCCAGGAAAAACCTAATTTCAAAGGAATGTCTTAATAATGGAGGCTAATTAGCTTGCCAAGACATGTACTGTCAAATAGGTTTATCCATTACTCGTCTCTCTCTCTTTTAAATATAAACATATGCAGAAACACAAAGACAAATTTCAGACATTAAAAAAAAAAACATACATGCCTCTGACATAACTAAACACCCTTATTCCATGCTGGAGCCTATGAAGGGTGGTCTCTTATGCTGCTTACTAAGCACCAATGCCAGCATAACATTGTCATGAAAAAATGCAAAGCATTCATGCAATTTAGTACAGTCAACTACTATTTCTGTGACTTACCAGGAACATACTGCTTAGTCGACTGAAAAATAAAGCACAGTCTTTTGGGGGTGATACAGTTTCATCTTAAGTCACTCCAAAAATTACATTTTCTATGACAATGGTCCCCCTGTCCCTCCTCAAAGAGCAAAGCCCTTTATTTTATTTAAAAAAAAAAAATAGAACCATAGAGCTGTAAGGAAGCTTGTGATTCCATACAACAGAAGCAAAATTAGGAAATTAGGAAAACCTCGTGTGAGTAGCTATCATCCAAAGAGAGCACGCCAATGAGATAGTTATTTTACTTTACTTACATGTTCTCTTCCTGTGTTAATAGAATTGTAGCTTCGGGGCAGTTGGCTGTTTCACATTTCATTACTTGTGAGATCAGATTCTTTAAAACTGTGCCTCATAGGGATGAATAATAGGCGGTCCCATATTTTACCGAGATTCTACGTTTTTCAATCCTGTAGAATCCCTCACCATTTACAACTCCAAGTCCACTTGTTGGCAGGAGGTAGCATGTGCTGTGATGTGACACAGCAGGTATCACTTAAGACACTAAATGATCTACTACTGTGTTTCCCCAAAAATAAGACATCCTCCGAAAAAAAGACCTAGTGCATGGAAAGATAAGACATCCCCTGAAAATAAGACCTAACGCAACTTTGGGAGAAAAAATTAATATAAGAAACTGTCTTATTTTTGGGGAAACAGGATATCTACGTTTTAAAGAACTCCTCATAAGACACAGCTGTTACCCGGCCAGTGTGGATCAGTGATTGAGCGTCGACCTAGGAACCAGGAGGTCACGGTTCAATTCCCGGTCAAGGGCACATGCCGGAGTTGCGTGCTGGAGGCAGCCGATCAGTGATTCCCTCTCATCACTGATGTTTCTCTCTCTCTCTCCCCTTCTCGTTTCCTCTCTGATATCAATTAAAAAAATATTTTAAAAAACCAAAAACACAGCTGTCTTGTGGACTGGAATCTGTAAGTCTCTCCTCTTGGAAAGCAGCTATGATAAGCCAGGGTTTCAGAACTCCTAAGGAATAATATTTCAGGAATCACAATATTTCAAGAAGGAAAGGTAAAAAAAGGGGGGGGGGGTGGTGTCAAGGTTTTCTTTGGCCATCATCATCCTTCCCTCCTCCCTCGATGGGAACGGACAGGCTGCTCTCCTTCTGAGTCTGTAAGACGTGTGAGCGCGTGGACCCCGAGGGCCAAGGACGCGGCCTGTGAGGAAGCGCGGGACAGCAGGCAGGGCCCGGCTAGCGCTGGGCAGGACGTGGCCTTGGGCGGAGGAATAAGGACCTGGGGGAGTTGGGCGTGGTGCCAGGGTGTGGGCTGTTTCCCTGCTTGCCATATGCCTTGTTCGGCTGAGCGCGTGTGGGGAATATGTGACCAAACTCTGATCACAAAATACGTAATGTTCAGCAGAAACAAGAACATTTCAAGAAAACAGAAAATGCGAGTACAAGGCTTCATCCTGTCAGCAGCTACTCAAGCCAGCTGTCTACTCCCCTCCCCGCCCCCCCCCCCTTTTTTTTTTTTTTGCTCACTCACTCCCTCTTGCAGACTTATAGACAGAGGGAAAGCAGCACACCGGAGTCCCCTGTTCATGATTTGGATCGCCTCCAGGCACCCTGCCTCAGAGAAGTGCCTGCTTAGGCATGTCTGTCAGGTGAGTGAATTCTTCTAACCCAGTGGTCGGCAAACTCATCAGTCAACAGAGCCAAATATCAACAACACAACGAGTAAAATTTCTTTTGAGAGCCACATTTCTTTAAACTTAAAACTTCTTCTAACGCTACTTTTTTCAAAATAGACTCGCCCAGGCCGTGGTATTTTGTGGAAGAGCCACACTCAAGGGGCCAGAGAGCCGCAGTTTGCCAACCACAGTTCTAAGCAGTCAGGCAAACCTACACGGTCAGATCCCAGGTGCCTTCACTCCCTTGCTTTCCCCGGAGTCCCCATGAGCTGAACCGCTTCTGGCGAGGAATTATTTTATCATACAGTTGACCCTTGAACAACACAGAGGTGAAGGGTGCCAATCTCCACGCCACTGAACATCCACAAGTAACTTCTCTCCCAACACGTAGCTACATACAGCCTCCTCTTGATCAGAAGCCTTACCAACCACACACACTGATGAACACGCACATTTGTATGTTTTATGTATTACACACTGTGTTATTTCAGTAATCTAGAGAAGAGATTATTGAGAAACTCGTAACAGAAATACATTTACAGTAGTATTTATTGAAAAGAAGTCTGTGCATAAGTGGACCAATGCTGCTCAAACCGTATGTTAAAGGGCCAACTGTATCTCCGGGACTAAGGAGTCACCGCCGCCTGAGTCAGTTTTTTTGTAGGAAAACTGCCCAGCTCTGCAGCTGAGCCGGGTGGGGTGGGGTGGGCTAAGAGCTCCATGGTGTTCCTCTGAGCCCAGGCGGCCCAGGAGGTGACAGCTTTATGCAAACTACAGAGTGAGAGGCTCCGCATTCACCGCCCAAGCAAGGAGGCCTGGAGAGTGAACACCTGCTGTGCAAACCGCCCACAGTCAGTCAGCCCTGAACTTGGGGATGATGGCCAGCACCTCACGGTTAGTAACTCCTCCCCTCCCAGTCCTGCAGCTTCTCTTGGGCACCTGTCCTCGTCATGCCCTCTTAACACTGAGGGACAGTGTGAGAGAGCAGGAGAGGGGGGTGTTATGAAGGTGGGAACAGCGGTGACGAGGTACGCCTCACGGCGAACAGAGGGTTTAGAGAACTAACTCCAGTTTAAAAAAAAAAAAAAAATTCTCCCCAGGAGCTCCCGGTGGACCGCCCCATCCATCCCTCAGGGCTGAGCCGGGACTCTCCCCGCTCCCTCCCCAGCCAGGCCCGCCCGCCCGCGCCTGCCGCTCCAACCTTCCCGCCGCAGGCTGTCTTACCTGAAGAGTTTTGACTTTGCCCAGGATGTTGTCCTGTGACATTGCTTGAACTGTCTGCTCACTTTCTGCTCCCCCATCAGGGATAAAAATACTGTCATGGGAAAGCGCCCGGGCTCCCATACAAAAGCTGAAGGACCTGGAATGCAAATCATGTGCTTCGTTTTATTAGGATGATAAAATTTCTTCTGGCAACAGGGTCCCGCTCCTCCTGATTGGGGGACTCCACCCGCATCCCCGGCTCGCCACGCCCTGTGTCCGCTGCCGCCGCGGGTCAGCCAAGGAGCTGGGCAGACGGGAGGGTCCCGCGGGAATGAGGGAGCATGCCTCCGACACAGCAGCCTTCCAGCGCCGCTCACGGGAACTCAGGCTGCTCTTGATTGATAGAGGCCCCGGCTGGAAGGCACTGCGGAAACTAACTGGAGGGGCCTTCCTTTCCTCCCCCACAAACCCCCCCCCCCCCCCCCCCCAAGGAGCCGTCATCACAATCGGTTCTACCCCAGCAGGTCCTGTCAACCAGCCCTTTTTTATTTTATTTTATTTTTTTTATACAGAGAAAAGGAGAGGAATAGTCTCAGAAACATCAATGAGAGAGAAACATCAATCATGTGCCTCCTGCACCCCCCCCCCCCGCTGGGGATGCTCCCGCAACCAAGGTACATGCCCTTGACCGGAATCAAACCCGGGACCCTTCAGTCCACAGACTGACGCTCTATCCACTGAGCCAAACTGGTTTCAGCAACCAGCACTTTTTAAATAACATTCAGACCTAGAAGAAGTAAGAGACACGAGTTTCTTTCAGATTACAATAAAATTGGAAGACAGCTCCATACATCCAGGCCAAGGATAAGAATTGCTGATAGGGGCTACGGGAATAAAGCATCTCTCTCGCAATTGCCCTAGACATTCAGAGAGTGTGGATCAGGGCAACCCCGAGGGGCCTCCGGCATAGGTCAGCTTACAGGTGGCAGGTGGCCAACAATAAACACTTCAGGGGAAGGCTTGGGCTTCGAGAAGTGCGGGCTTCTACCTCATAGTGGGGTAGAGGCAGGGCGACCTGCAGGAACGGGAAGCAGCAAAAGCCAACTGCTCTTCCTTGATCTGGGAAACAAACTTATTTCTGGGGAATCCACACCCAGGCTTTTCACAGGGCAGGGAGAACCGCATGCCCTCCATGAGGCAAGGCAGGCACTCCTCCACGCTGCCAGGCACCAGGGCGGCTCCCCCAGGGTGACCGAGTGCCACGCCCCGCCCCCCACCCCTCCTCAGAGCAGGGCCCATTGGAGGCTGTATCAGTGACCAAGTGCCAAATGCAGCGGGGCAGGGTCCCAACCAAGGGTAGACTCCTTCGTTGTGCAGACTGAGCACCAAACCTAATCTGCCAAACTACAGGCAGTATGGCGAGGAAGCACGTGAGGCTGAGAAACAAAAGACCTGGATGTGAGGCCCCTGGCTCTGTAACAAAGACAAGGTCCAGGAAGGCAAAGGGAGAGACTGGATCAAGTCAGAGCTGAAACAACTCGGCTCCTCCCTCACAGCAGAAAAGTCTTCCACGTGAACACAGTGCTTGTAGGCATTTGGGTTTCTTTGAGAGCAAAGATGCTATGAGCAACAGCTGAGGGGCCATGACAAGAGGGTAATGTTAAGAGAGTTCCAGTTCACCCATAACTGCAAATCTTATACAAACTAAGGTAAACTAGTTTTATTGCTTAAACTACCAAATCTGTTAATACTAAATAGGATGCCAGAATCCATGAATTTTTTTCATATTTACACAATACTTTTTTACTGTAGGAAAATAATATATATATAAACATAAAATTTACCATTTTAGTTATTTTTAAGTATACCGTTTTTTTAGTGCCATTAAGTACATTCATATTGTTATTCAACTATGACCACCATCCATCATCCTAACCTGAAATGCCCATACTCATTCAACAGTAACTCTTCATTCCCCCTTCCTCCAGTGCCTGATAACTATTATTCTCCTTTCTATCTCTATGAAATTTGACTATCCCATGTACCTCATATAAGTGGAATCATTTAATACTTGTGCTTTTGTCTGGCTTATTTCACTTAGCATAATATCCTCAAGGTTCATCCATGTTGTAGCATGTGCCAGAATTTCATTCCTTTTCAAGGCTGAATAATTTTGGGATATATATCACATTTTGTTTATGCATGTACCTTTGAGTTATTTCTACCTTTTGGCTATTGTGAACAATGCTGCTGTGAACCCTGATGTATTAATCAAGATTTTTAAAAATGTATGAATGTAGCATTATGACGCATAACTATGTGTAGACATGGCTGAAAGAGTAGGTAGGTGTTCCATAAGTCATTTCACACCAAAGATTTGACAACACTTTCATATCCTCTACCCACATTAAATAGTCACTGTCTATAAAGATTAGTAGACACTACAGGACAGGAGAAGAAAAAGGAAGAGGAGGGGGAGGAGGAAAAGAAGGAGCTAGAGGAGGAAGGGAAAGAAGAAAAGGAGAGAGGTGGTGAGGTAGAGGAAAATGAGAAGAGAAAAAGAGGAAGAGAATCCCTCATGTCTGCCCCAAAACCTGGGAAATTCTGAAATGCAGTACGAATTCCTGAAAAGCTGATCTGGGTGTCTGATTCTCAAGAGCGGCAGTCCCTGGGTTCCACCTCCGCCCTCCGCCACAGGAGGCTTAATCACCAGGAACAGACCTACTGACTGGAGAGCAGAAGCTTCTAAATCTAAGGGGAAGTGCTGTATTAGCACTAAGACGAGTTGGAGTGGCTTAGGGGGTCCTACATCTTATCACATTGGAGCCCTTGCACCTAAGTCAATATGGCTTTGGAAGGACAGGAGAAGAGACGCTGCTGTTTCTCCCCTCTTCCACCTTCTCCTCTTTTACTTCCCCAGAGATGGCAGAACTGTCATATAATTCTACCTAGAGGCTATGGAAAGCTTCTTAAAAATCAGTAACACAGGACTCACGGGCACACTTTGGCGACACACAGACCAAAACACTGGGTTGTCTGAAGGGCCTAAAGGTTGTGAATGATCTCAGGAAATACAGCTGGGCCTGGGTGGGTTATCCCATGCTGCTATAGCACACAGACATTGTTATGCTAATGACCATGCCAAAAGCAACATAAAGTTCATACTTCTTAAGCTTTTATTGTCATTATTATTTCTGATGTTGAAAGCATTTAAGACTTACAAAAACACTGCGAGTGTAGCGTGAAGAACTTTTGTTTTCCTAGCCCCAGCTGCTGGCAGGATGCTCTCACTCCGGAGCCAGGCAGGCAGTGGAGGCTCATGCATTGAAGATGTGAGAAACCGCAGGGAGGAGTGGAGGAATTCCGGAGGACAACTGAAGGGCCAGTGAGCGTACCCTTGGTCCTTTACCCTGAGCCGACTGGAACATGACTGCCATCTGTAGATGATCTTCAACTGAGGCCCTCTCCAATTCTTCTCTCTAAACATACGTTCATCTTAAAGCGGTTAACTCACTGCTCAGAAACCTCCATGGGTTCCCTGTTGCCCAAACCCTACCGGATGAGGCTGCCACGGTGGCTTATCCTTTCAGGCTCCTCAGAGTGGGGCTCTACACTACTCTGGGCAGGCCAGTGCCCTTCTCTGTAAAGGGGAGTGCCAAGAGGTCCTACCTCACCACCCATTTTTTAGGATTTAAATGAATTCTGAAATGTAAAGCACTTAGAATAGTGTAAATGCTTACGCGTTACCCGTTATTATCCAAAGCCACCCTACTTCAACCCCAGCCACTCAGCTCCCCAAATATCCTCTCTGGGCTCTGTCACTGCGTAGGCTCTTCCTCTCCAGGGACGGCCCAAGGCCAGTCTCTCAGTTCAGGTCCTACGCGCCTTTTATGGTCCAGCTCAGACATATGACTCCACACAGCCTTTTCTGCTTCCCTGGGAGAAAAGGATCCCTCTGTCCCCCAGGATATATATGCACGTGTATTTCTTGCTGTTTCATGTTATGGTTATTATAACCGTGCCTTGAATGAGAGGGAAAATATAAGTGCTCTGCATATTGTAAAGTGCTAGACAGATGTGACTCTAATAATGATGGTATCACCTTCTCTCCACCACACTACGAGTTGCATGAGGGCGGGGATCACACGTGTGATCTTTCTTTCTCCCAAAATCCTTGATACAGTAAAATTTTAGATGAGTGGATGATTAATAGTGTAGGGTAGTTCGTTTATCAGACGGGTTTCCCATGGAGAGGTCACTGAGGGAATGTGAAGCTTGATGCAAACATGTTGACGGGAAGACGGGACTATTTTGAGATCGTGAGTATATTTCAGAGAGGGAAGCTTATTAAAGGAGGCCATTGTGGAAAGCTCCGAGAAGCCAGGGGGTGGGCAATTCAGGAGGATGTTCAGCATCTAAACCTTTTAAAAGGTTTCTTCTGAGCCTCCTTTTCAACTCAAACCAGGAAACTGCTCCAGGCTTTGCTTCCCACCTCCTACTGCAAACCTCCCTTTCACCAAGTTTTCCTGGTTCCATTCGGTGTCAGCTACAGTGCTGAGTCGCAAGCAACAGAAACTATGTCTCACTCAACCAAAAGAATATTTATTGGAAGAATAATGGGGCTCTGAGAGCAGCGGAAGCTAGCGATGAGGCTTGGAAAGCCTCTTGGGAGAGAACTCTAGCAGTCTAGGCATTAGGACCCACAGCAACCAACCAGGAAGAGTCTGGTTACAGAAAGCTCTCCGGGTTGTCTCCCTTACATCCTGACCCAACTGTCAAGTCAAAGCCCAGGAGAGAGACTGATTGGCCAGGCCAGGTCATGTGCTCAGGCCGGGCTGCAGTGGGGAGGAAGTGGCCCTTTGGCTTCTGTCATAGGAAGCTGGTACTATGTCCTATCAGAGGTAGGTGGAG